CATGATCACCCTCTCTATCAAACCCATACTATTCTTTATACCCATATTCAAATTTAAAATCAACATCAACACCATCAAGTTCATCCACATGATCGCCTAGAGTTGGTGTTTGGTGGTGGATGAACACCACTCATTATCCAATTATAGATATTACAACCTAATTATATAATTTACTAAGGTGGAGCTTAAACTTTGAAATATTTATTGCATAAATTAGTTGATTTACATATTCAGAGTCAAATACAATTTTTATTATATAAATAATGATAATATTACGGTGAAAAACAATTATTAGATTTTAATTATCATTCAATGCAACTTTCAAAAATCTCTAGAAACGAAGTTCAATTATAAAATTGACTATAATGAAGTAGTTATAAAAGAAACTGAAAACATTTCATTATTGGCATCATATGGTTTAGTAGCTAACAATTGTCCTTAATAATTCCCCTTTAAATGAGCTGCACTAGTGAATATCATTGAATATAGTAGAATCATCAACATTAAAAATAACAATTACTCATTGATTAAATTCCATCAGTTTTTTAAATGGTCAAACAATATGCTTATACGAACCATTTATAGATCTATTAAGCAAATTTTTAGCTCTATCTTTTCCCCGCAATGCTTGTTCGTAAGTCGGTATAATGATATAATTATAGTTAAAATTTTTTATTATATCTAATAGAAGATACTAGATGGTATAAGGAAGCTTTTTCAATACCACAATGCTTATCAATTTATTTTATTTATGAAATTCACAAATTGATTCATCGCTAATTAAATGTGTATTTATGGGATGATAATTATACACCTTATGTGTTGATTCGCCCCCAACTTTAATTGCTTGTATATCATATCCACGTGTTTTGACAATACATCTAACTTGTATGTATTCTCTATCATTATTTTAAAACTAAAACTAATATGCAAATACTCCAAACATATAAATTTTATTCAATGCATTTTAGAATTTATTTCCATTGTTATATGTTTGTCAAACTTTAGTTATATCATTGAGTCCGGATCTTCTGCCCACGTTTATCAGAGTCACGCATGGAGAACATCTCATCCTTTGCATAGTATTATGTAGGGGGAGATGTTCCCAATTCACGGGGGTTGTGTATTGTGGGTAGGCATGGGCAGAGTTCTCATGGGCAGGTGATCCGGACTCTATATCATACTCCTAATGTGACGATGAATTGACATAATTATTATTAATCTGTTTTATTAACCTCTAAAATATGTTTTTAATCATTGCCATGGTTTTGTACATTTTGTGAATGGTGGCTTGGTTAATTATCAACATTCGTTTGTTTTATGTCCATTGAAAATGTATGCATGATTGTACTTTTTTTGTAAAACTTCAATATATTTGAAAAATCACATGGCATATTTAGTGGCAAGAAATGTGTTCTATTGAGATAAATTGTCTAATATAAGTTTATGTTACTATTATGGTTGATTTTCAAATCATCACAAATTTTGTTAATATATTTATTAAAGTCATTCTTTTCTTTTATCACAAACCCCAAGTATGCTTCCCTTAAAAGTGTAGTAACACAATAACACTTTATAAGTTTGTCATCATCTCTACAAAATAAACAATAAAACATTATTATGGATTAGATTAAAAAAATGAAAACATAAATTTACATAAAATGGTATATGATCTTGTAAACATTAAGAATTGAAAATTTAATTTTATTACTAAGAATTATTCAATCCATATTGATATTTTATCCCGTAATTTTCTCATTCACAATATCTTTATTTTTTATCTTCTATTTTTCTCATCTTCTTTCACATGGGCAAATTTTCATTGAATGCTCTTTTTGTTAGTCGGATAAAATTTACCAAGACAAATGTAAGGCATTAACTAATTAAATTCCGTAGTAAGGACATACCCACCCTTACTTGGATTTTATGTCCTAGTATCAATATTTTTTTATCATATGATAGTGTAGGTTATTGTTTGCTAAACCTTCTTATATTATCACCATATGTTTTAATTGTCATCATAGTAAAAGTTAGCAAGATAAATTTGAGTTGTTAGTTAAATTGAGTATTGAGGACATGACATCCTCTGTTGCCTTTCATGGTTATATTCCAATAATAAATGGTTGATTATAAATTTAAATGAATAAGATAAAGGTCACTAATGATTTTAGCCTTTCATACCAAACTACTGAAGGGTTTAGTAGATTAGTAGTGGGGCAACAAAGATCAATGGGAGAATATGTGAAGTTCTACCAACATGTTGTAACTTATATTATTCATCAACACATAATGTTACTTTTATAAAACCCAAGTGAAAGTCATGAGCATCATTCTTATTTCACCACCCTGAAGTTATTGGGAAAAATAATACCCCATAAACATGCCTATAATGCAGTAGCTAGTATGTGATAAAACAAGCTACACCAAATGGTTTTATATGCAAAAATTGATGCTTATATTCAATGAACTAGTATACAAACATGTACAAAATAATATAATGGGATGAAAGAGATAACATTTTACAAAAAAAAAAAAGATCTCATGATATACCTCAAATCGGTAGATGTATTCGATAGACATCTATGAGTCCATCCATTGAATTCCAAAGTTCTCTAGTTCTTACCTCAGGAACTATAGTCATTTGAATATGAATTTATGAAATCCAAGATAATAATAATCATGAAAGTGCAAAAAGTTAGCAAAGGGTATGATAATACATTTCATGGTAAATTATAAAATGGATAAATATGATGTTCAAACATCAAATTGACAATGTGATGATAGTTGTAGGGGTGTGAATCATCATTCTTTAAAACCTATATACTTGAACCATAATTCCATAAGGAAAAATGACCGCACATAAATAATAAAAGAATATACCTTCATAAAGAAAAATTATAATGTGAAAAAAATTAATCGTCCTACTCCTCGTTTTAGCCTTCTCAATCCTAAGAGAATAAGATATTTATAATAGATAAATTTAGAAATAGGAAAAAAGGAAAATGTTATCATCATTTCCTTCATTTCTTTAAGATATACTTTCTATTTATATATGATTATTTAAACATAACAACAAAATTTAATTTATAAAGGAAATTCTTAGTTGTTCATGTTGTTTTGATAAGAGGAAATTTGCGAATTCAGTATATAGGATTTATGGTTAACTTAAAGAAAATTACCTTATAATATATTGCAAAGTAGTCTTATTTTGGCAACTTAATTGCTGCTACCCTCCTCAGTGTAGCTCATTTCTCTTTGTTGACAAGGATGTTGCAGCCACTCAAGGCATGAGTTTTTGATGGAGATGTTCTAATGCATGTAGTTGGGTTGGATTCAATCCAATAGGAGGAGACCTTAATATGATTAAAAAGAAAAACAAAAGGGAGTATAAGACATGAGGGTTGAGACGTTGGTTCAAGAAGGAAATGGAATAAAAAATGAGAGAAAAAAACACCTGGTTCAAGACTCATGTAAGCTAAAGATACATGGAATGCATAGAGAGAGAGAGAGAGAGGCAAGAAGAGAGCAAGGGGAGGAGGATAGAGGGCATGAAAGATCAAATGACACTTTTTAAAAAAAAAACAATGTCATTTTGGTCTTTACATGTTTAAGGGTAATTTCAGAATTAAAAATATTGTGTAACAAGGTGACTTAGAAGCATGTTGGTTTGACATATCATGGTCATAATAAAAAGGGAAAAATTCCCGATCAGCACCCTATACTTTGGCTTGAGTGACAACTTGGTCCCCAAACTTTAAAATGCAACAATCCAGTACCTGAACTTTCGAAACACGACAATCTAGTAATTGTTGTTAATGGACCATTAGTTATGTATATCACGTGACCTCATGTGCGATTTAAGACTTTTGAAAATGTCAAAATTGCCCTTGAAAATAATACACACTTTTCATCATCTTCATTATTAAGAAGATGAAATAGAGCCCAAAAGCTATCCGTCATAAACACTTACAACAACTTTGCCTTTTTTTCAAAGTTGTTGCAAGTCTTTTCCAATAACATAAAATTCCAAGTTAAAAAAAAAACTTATTTTTATTTACTTTTTATCTTAACACATTAATATTTTATTCATATAGGTAAAAGAGAGGGAAAGAACTGGAATCTTTGTCTTGATACTTGAGAGACAGAGAGAGAGAGATCAATGATGGTGGCTGGAGACTTTTTTCTTTCTCTGTTTTTTTGGATATGATAATTACAATAGTTAAAGGAAAACTTTTGTTGCAAAAGTTGCTTTGGTTTTGGTTCAAAGATGACAAAATATTCAAAGAAGAAAGACAAGAGTGTTGTCGCAGGGCTAAAAATTTGGACGGTTGGTTCTGATTTTGGCGGATGGTTAATAAAGAAAATTAGACAACAGGTACTAGATTGTCGCGTTTCAAAAGTTCAAGTACTGGATTGTCGCATTTTAAAGTTTGGGAACCAAATTGGCACTTGAGACAAAATACATGGTACTGATCGGGAATTTTCCCTAATAAAAATGCATATATATATATATGGTGTGGGAATTTGTCCCAACTTTTCAAAATCTTTGTTTATGAGACTTCTCAATTCCCATGCTTTTCTCTAAAAATTAATATTTTATTCTTAGAATTAATAATTTATTCTAAGAAAAAATATTTGTACCCTTTTCAAATGTTAGGGGAGGTTTTTGTTAGGAAAAAAGCATACAGGTAAGTCATATTATTGCCAGAAAAGCTAGGGTCATTTCTACAATTTTTCTGAAAAGAAACAAAGAATTAAGTACTGATTAGTCAGGATTCATCCCTGTATGGTAAGACCACAAAATTCTTACTGGACTGATTAGTCATTCTTCCAAGAAAAAATGGCCTGGAGGTGGTTTATCGTCTATCGGGTGACTGATCGTTTAAAAAGACAAGGAAGTAGTCTTAGACTGATCGTTGACCCAGTGGCAGATCATACATCCAACGGTCTGGATCCAACGTTTACTAACGTTTGTCATCCGGCAATCTCATGATCAGTAACTACATCGCGGTCGCGGAACATCCGAGAAGAACTAAACACAGAGCGTCAGAGCGAGAGTATATAAGGGTTTCGTAGCGGGAAATTTTCTCAATTAATTGAAGCTTCGGAAAGCAAAATGAGACCAAACATTGTTTCCGAGGTAAGTTCAGATCTGAAACTCATGGCTCATGCCTCTCTTTCTTCGATTTGGTTTCCTGGTTCTTGGTAAGTTCGACATTATTGTGCCCAGAGAATCCTGATTTGCAGTTTGCTAAAGCAGTATTAATTGTATGTGCGCTCAAGATTTCGTTTTCGTTCTCTATTGTCCGTTTTAGGGAGATAAAATTCGGAAAGGAATCATGTTTGGAAACAAATTATATAGTTATAAATTAATTTATAACCATTTTGGAAGATAACGCTTGGTTTATTAGCTTCAGTCATGTTGTTTAAGATTGTATCGAGTGGAAAGTTATTTACAATATCAATTGTTTGCATCCTTTTATCAGCATCCTTGCATTATGACTGTGTTTCTGTTAACTGAAGGAAAATCTTGTTCTACAACCCAATTAGTTTAATTTTAGATGAGAATGAGAAGGTCTAAGTCTAACTGCTGATTGTTCTATGTGACTTGAGGAAGGTCGTTTCCTCCTATTGACAACTAGGACTTGATAAATAAATGTTGTGGATATTTTGCGTGGTACTTTTCTTTGGAAGTTAAATTTAGTGTCCTTTAGGTTGCTAATTTTGGAATTACTTTCCACATGTACGGGATGGACATTTGACGCAACCAGAAAACAAAGTGGAGTTACAGTTCCATGTTATTGACTTATTGTCTATATTTAGAAGCTCATTTTGTGTTATTCTATTTGTCTACAGGCAGGATTTCCTACTAGGATAAGCCAATGGTGGGAAGGTATTCCATTCCTTACATCAGCTGTGGTGATTGTGTGCGGTATTATTTACTTGGTTTGCCTTTTTGTTGGGTATGACTCCTTCTATGAGATATGCTTCTTGCCATCTGAAGTTATATCACGGTTCCAAGGTATGCTTTAATTTCTGAGTTCTTGACACACTCAGTGTAAAGTTTTAAGTGCTTCATTTTGGTATCTATATTTATAGTATTGGTTACTGAGAAGATTCGTGTCATAAATAAATAAACAAAAACCTTTTTACAGGCCCTACAGGTCATACAACAAATGAGCTGTGAACCTGTTAGCTGATGAAAATTCTATTATAACAAATAAAGATTTTTCAAATTGATTATTTCATCACTGTTGATCTTTGGAACTGTTTAAGGATGCCTAATCATCAATATAAAAATAAAGATTTTTCAAATTTGATTATTTCATCTTATCCTAAAAGTTTTCTTTACTCCACTCTTTCTAAATGCTCTAGCATTTTTTGGTGGTAAATAAAAAGAAAATTTTATTAAAAAAAAGAGATTACAAGAAACATGACCACTAAAGAGAAAAGCAACACTTCACCTCTCACTACCAAACTCTAAACCCTCAATACAGAGATGGCCATCCTACCATCCTGACATGACATCAGATACGCCAAAGACCCAATAATTGAAAGAACTCAAACAACAGGAAACTAGATTCAAACAAAACACCGCACAAGATAATACTCAATTACTTAGATAACTCTAGTGACTTATATGAGACCTTTTTACTTCTCTCACACACTTTCTTTGATTTCTTTGCCTTCTTGATAGGCCCTACTCGAAATAAACCCCTTTTAATCTGGAACAAAACTTTTGAAACCTGTACTGTTTGATGGTTTTTCCAGCTACTGAATCATATTATAGCATTAGGATTCTTCTAGCAACTCCAAGACCACATTCTTCTCAAAAATCTGATTTGTCACCACCTCTCCATCCTCTTTATTACCATCCCTTGCAACTACAGGTAATTTTGAACTGTATTATGCATTTTCAATCCTTAAATTAATTCTTATTGCTTCCATGTTTAAACTATGTTTCCCCCACCCTTTGGAGGCACACCAAACTTTTCTTCTAAGAAAGATAACAACCCAATGATTTACTCATCTCCACTTCTGTATTCACCACTTTCTCCAAACCAACTGCCCCTTCAATTATAGGAGTCTCATCAACAACCACCTCCTCCTCAGTTGAGTCATTACTTTCATCATTTACATCATTGGCAAAGAATACATGTCATGGAGAGGTGGCACCTTGCGCCTTCCCAAGGGTCTGTAATTTCCTCTTGATACTAATGAAATGTCATATATTATTTATCAAAATCATTTACATCATTGGCCTCATCCCTTTCATGTGACATCCTTGTTCAATAACTTTTGGCCCTTGATTCTCTCCTCCTCTTTCTTCAATACACCCCAGATCCTCACCTTCCCCAACCCTTCCTACGAACTCAGTTCCTCCTGATTAACTGCCACAGTTCCATTTTGAACCACTGTTTCGATTTCATTTATCACCAATTTGACACCCTCCTTAGACAACTCTGCCATGTCTGCATGATCTCTGTCACTCTTCCCCTCTGATTCTTCTTAATTCCAGTCACAAAAAGTCCCTCCTTAATCGTCAACCACCTCCTTCTCTCCTTCTTTACTACCACTCCCCACTTCTGAGCCCACCAGATTCCAACCACTTAAAATCCCCATCTCATTTTTTTTGAAAAATAAAAAGGAAATTCATTAAATTGAAAAAATGCAGTACATCTCAAAATGCTGGTTGTCTAGATGACAAACCATCTGCTTAACAGAATTACACTGAAAAGGAATCAAAATTACATGGATTCAATTCCAATGTGTTCCAGAAGTTCTCTAACAGATCTGCCTTGTGCACTTGGTCAAACTCTTCGCACTTTCCTTTTCCTTCTTTTCTTCCCACCCCCACCTTAACATTTTTATTCCTATCATTTATTACCCCTCTCTTCTGGCTCCTGTATAAAAGAAATATCTTCCACACAGTTCAATGACCATGAATTAGAATTCTTGTTGATGCCACAATCTTTGCAAGGTCAACAATTTTCTACTGACTCTTGTTCACCCTTCTTCACTTCCTTCGCCACAAGCTGTGATTCCTTGAACAACGAACTATTCGGCACCTCTAGTAAAACTGTGTCTATTGTTCTCACAATCTTCGTTAATGGCACATCTCTCAGTCGAAACACCTCCTTCCTCAACACCAGTGACCATGCTAGTATTGGAAATCTCCTCCACAGCCTGTAACTCTGACGCCTTCTTGATTGGGTGTACCTCAGATTTCCCACATTGAACATCTGGATGCTGAGACCTTTATCTATCAATTCCTGCTTCCCGGTGCCTAATTTCCTTTTATTTTTGAGCTTGCTTTTGTTCCCTTCTTATCTGTGTAGTGAAAAATTGTATGGGTCATCTTCTGTAGAATTCATCTTAAGATGCTATAGCTCCTGGTCCATTGTTCTAGATGTGCAGCGTACTTCTTGGTGAACCACTAAATTTCGTATGGATAAAAGATAAGTTGCAATTTGTAGAGGGAGCTCTTTCTATAGCAGAAAGATAGTTTGGAAAAGTTTGAAGGAAGGTGAAAGGAGGAAATATTTAGCTGAGAGAAAGTGTAATATCAAAGGCAGGTTTTTGGTAGTGATGGAGTTCTTTGGAGAAAAGAAAAAACAAATTATCTGCATTCCTGAAGGAAGAAAAGGATTAATCTGGGCGGAGATTAATAGTCTATTGCAGGAGTTCCTGAACTTGAAGAGTGAAGAGAGAGGCTCGAAACAGTCCTTGGTAGAAATAGAGGCTTCTTTCTTTGAAAAAAAACAGGGAGAAACAGGTTTGCTGGTGAGTGCTGGAAAATTAGCTTTTATAGAGGAGAAGGCAGATTGGGGAAAGAAGCTAATAGCAGTAATGAAAAAGGAACCAAGGGATTGGGGGACATAGCTGTAGACTTAAGTAAAAATTTAAAACCGAAGGGTCCTATCTTGATCACTTCATTTGAAGAGTGTAAAGCATTGATTGACTTATTGGAGAATGAAGTCGAAATCAGTGCTTCGAATGTGTAGACAGCTGAAGGAAATGCTACAGTCACGAACTGGTCCCTTGGTTCAAACTCAAAGGACTTGGCAGTAGTAGATGGAGTCACAGTGAGGATTGCTGGCTTGCCGTTCCATCTGTGGAAGAAGGAGGTTTTTGAGTCAATTGCTTCTCTATGTAAGGCAAAACTGGTTGGTGTATTTCTGCTATACCTTAGATCAGCAGCCATTAGATTGAGTGGAGTTAAACCAGAAGAAATCCCTAGGAAGATTGAAATTTTCTCTGATAACTGTGTTTACTCAGCTTGGCTTCTCTCTTCCATTGAAGCTTCACTATGGAGGAAGTCCAGAAGGGAGAAGGAAGAGGAGGTCGAAGAAGAATACTTACGTGGAAATCAGGGATTGGCGGATTTGAAATTGGCTGAGGCTTATACAGTTTTGGAAAGTCTTGGAAAGAAGAATGAAAAAGGTGAGACTGCAAGGAAATGCCTTGAGTGTGCAAGACAAGTTAAAGACACAGATTGGGGCAGGTCCTATGCCCAAGCTTTGACAGGTGGAACATTAAATGAGCCATCTGTTAGAGGGGCTCACTTTTTGAGCAAAACCAGACCAAGTGTTGAACTGGGTAACTCGAAGAGACTCAAACCAGACCCACAGAATTTTAGTAATGGGCTAAGTCGAGTGACACTTGGCGTTCGGCCTCTTGACAACTCAAAGAATCTCAGAAATGAGTTTTTAAATGGGTCATCACACAATATTTTAAAGCTTAAAGAAGGGGCTGGGCCGAAGGAAATAAGGGCATCAGGTGATCACTTAAATGGTCACGTGACCAAGGCTGGACTGGAGGTGGTAGACCAGTTTTCAGGTCTATCATCTTCTAACTTGAGACCTGACTCGAAGATGGGGGGTTCGAACACAACAGTGGCGGAGAAGCTCAGTTGGAGGCTGAGACTAGTCTCCTATTTCACGACCCCGGAACGTACAAACCTGAAGTTTGATTGGCGAAGGTCTGACGATGATGGATTTGATTCAGAGTGGGTAAACTGTTGTTGAGTTGGTCCGGTTTGTTTTTTATTTAGTTAGGAAGTTGTTGGGCTTTAGGCCTATTAGTTTATGTTTTTTTAAGTTGTGACTGTTCGGCTATATTAGTAGCCGCCCTACTAAGGGCATCCTTGTAATATCTCATCCTTTAAGTTAAGTATAAATATAATTAGAGGTAGGCGGCTAGGGTTAATTTACAATCCTGGTTGACTTCCTACTCTTTTCTTCTTCTCCTTTCTTCTCTACTGATGAAATCTTCATCTTCCCCCTCTTTCCTTTCACAAGAAACTCGACTAAATCTGCAATTAGTGATTTCTACTTGGTATCAGAGCAGGCCGAAGGTTCCTTGAAGTTGTTCTC